AGAAAGCCACTGCTCTCCAAAAAGAACATTGCTGCCCGTCTGCAGTTTGCTAAAGATCATGTGGACACGCCAGAGGGCTACTGGAGAAATGTTTTTTGGACAGATGAGAACAAAATACAACATTTTGGTTTAAATGAGAAGCGTTATGTATGTTGAATAGAAAGCACTGCATTCCAGCATAAGAACCTTTTCCCATCTGTTCAACATGGTGGTGGTAGTATCATGGTTTGGGCCTGTTTAGAACAATGAATTCTCAATTATATCAGCAAATTCTACAGGAAAATGCCAGGACATCTGTCAGTGAACTGAGTCTCAAGAGAAAGTGGCTCATGCAGCAAGACAACGACCCCAAGCACACAAATCATTATACCAAAGAATGGTTAAAGAAGGACAAAGTTAATGTTTTGGAATGGCCAAGACAAAGTCCGGACCTTACTCTAATTGAGATGTTGTGGAAGGACCTGAAGCAAGCAGCTGATAGGAGGAAACCCACCAACATCACAGAGTTGAAGCATTCTGTACTGAGGAATGGGCTAAAATTCCTACAAGCCGTTGTGCAGGACTGATCAGCAGTTACAAGAAACGTTACCTGCAGTTATTGCTGCAAAAGGGGGTCACACCAGATACTGAAAGCAAAGATTCGCATACTTTTGCTACTCACAGATATGTAAAATGATCATTTTTCTCAATAAATAAATGACAGAGCATATATTTTGGTCTCATTTGTTTTATTGGCTTCTCTTTGTCAACTTTCAGGACTTGAAAGGACGTGAAAATTATGTTTTGGGTCATATTTCTGCAGAAATATAGAAAATTATATATATATACAGTGGGTACGGAAAGTATTCAGACCCCCTTAAATTTTTCACTCTTTATTATATTGATGGAAAAGTGCTGCATAGAGCAAATGTTCTTCAAAATATCACCTTTTGCGCTCCACAAAAATAACAGCACACAGGTTTAGAATGACATGAGGCAGAGTAAATGCTAGAATTGTCATTTTTGGGTGAACTGAGCCAAATTAAGTCAAGCTTAGTTAATCAGACGCTCAGAATCAGTCACTCACCTGTATGCAAAGCTTGATTTGAGAATGCTGAGTTCCCCCTCATAAGGAAACATATCCTCATATTCCAGCAATATCCCATTAGCACCCAGAGATGACAGTAGAGGGAATATCTACAAAAGAACATAAAGGCAAACTTTAAAAAGGATACTATTAATACATTATACCACGTTTAAAACACATCCCTGTTTGCACATATTGTTTCCTACCTGTTCAAGGTATTTGACTTTGGGTGCGGCACCTTTCAGATCAAAGTGCACGATTTTTAATGGATCTGTGGGTGAATCATCAGGAATTTTTGGTTCTGACTCCTCTTGGTTTGATTGGATCGTCTCTTTTTTCTCTGGCTGAGCCTCTGTGTTGTCTGTATGTTCTTTTTTGACAGGATCCTCCTGACTATGAACCAAATTCAGCTGTGGGATACGCTGGTTAGCCCAGAATTTATCACCTTGTATGATTTGGTGGGTCTTGTGACTTGTTTCTTTGTTTGAGCTATAAATAGAAGGTAAATAAACGTCAATTACAGGCTTGTTTAAGTGAAGCATGGTTTGATGCACATGTACATGGAGACCCACGAGAACTGCAATCCTCACCTGGGGCTAAAGAAATATTTCACCATGGCAACAATCACCAAGCAACCGATGATCATCCTCATAAACTTTTGATTGCTCATGTTTGCTTTTCTGCAGGTGAATGGGATAAACCATAAAAATGAAGGCAGGTGTTGAACTCAGGTGACCTTCAAAACAAAATTTGCACTGAAAATCACAAAACATAATGAAAAACTCAGAAATGTTTACCTGTTTAAATGACAATGGAAAAGCCTCAATTTACAAACACGTGCATTTAATAATAATAATAACAATAATATACTTTACAAATGCAAATGCGTACGTGGTCTATTAAAAAAATGTGGAAATGCATCAAAAATCAAAGTAGATCAACAATTTAACTTGCATTTAATATATTTTCTCACAATTAGGACTCTGTAGCATTAAAGGATAAATGTTTTCTTGCTCAAATAGAAGACATGACGCTTTATAAATGAATGCAGGTTGCTATCACTTTAGTAAAACATCGAAATGTATACTTACTTTGTTAAAGACCATTAATCCTTCAGGTAAAAGACTTTATGAAGCATATAAGCAGACTCAGAATTACTTCCGTGTGCAGTTTATTGATGCAAGTGCATTTGTGTGAATAACGCGACAAGTTCATCCTGTTTAACGTGACGTACTTACAATAGCTTATTTGAATGTATAATTATCGATGACAGATGGTTGGCAGAGTCAGATATGTTTCTGCACTGCACTTGACCGAGCGAACACCATAAGGTGAGCAGCGTGAAGGCGCGTTTCCATTGCCCTTCAAATTGCGCAAATTGCGAATTGAAAATATGCCTAATGGAAACGCGTCAATTTCGCAAAAACGCCCATATATCGCAAAAAAGTTTTTACGCTCGCATGAGGTGGTTTTTCAGGCAATGCGAAAAGGGAATAATTCGCAAAACTGCAATGGAAACGGCTTTTTCGCATTTACAGGTCACATGGCGTATGTAAAAAGTCATATGATCATTCTTCAATGTACTATAACCTCCAAGAAACACATCATAAGTGGCAGCGCTCCAGTATAAGGGGCTTTCCCTACCATTAATGCTTAGACAATTTACACTGCACACGTCTGCGGTGCACTGTGGCTCTGATACGGTCACTGAATCTGACTGCGGCCACTCAGTGCTTGTGTTTATATTTTTATACAGTCTATGGTTTATTCCAGCCGTGCCACGCACGTTTCTGAAGCGGCTCTCTTTGCTGCTTCTGTAAAGATATACGCATAAGCCTCCTTTGAGTAAATATAGCCAAAATCCCACCAAAATCCGTTGCCATGACTTATCGCGAGAGACAAAAGGTTACGTTTAAGTCTCATAACATTGGTTAATGGAAACGCCGTCATTTCGCAATACTTTCTTATCGACATTTATAAAATATCGCCAAAGTTTTGCGCAAATCTGTAATGGAAACGCGCCTAGTGACAGTAAGGGTGCGCGTCACATCGACGCTTTACGGCACGTGTTGTTCAGTATATCAAATACTGGGCAACCGTAACATCGCCTATAAATGCGCACAAAAATCATGCCAGTTGCTACAGCACAGCGTATGACTTACTTTTTGTTTAAAAACAAATTAAATTTGGATAGTTGTCAAGACATAACATGTCAAGAAGTGACAGCGGAGTCCTGCTGTGTTACACGATATATTTAATCTCAAACAGCATTTTCTATCTAATTCTTGTATAATAATTTTACATGCGGTTTTATGTTTTCATAATCAAAGGACTACGTGTAATATCTTTACTTTTCAAGAAAAAAACTAAAACTGCTGACTAGTTACAACATCGAAAAATGTATTTTACCAGTTATATTGTACATAGCAAGTCCAATGTCTAGTGAAAGTATTACATTTAGCATTATTTCAATGTAAAAACTCTCTCTCTCAGAGGGAGTTTTTACATTAAAATAATGCAAAATATAATACTCTCAGTCTCTCTCTCTCTCTCTCTCTCTCTCACGCTCTCCTTTTTTTACTATGTCTACTATATCATCTATCATTATAGATACTATATCATCAGCATAATATTTAAATGACAAGTTTTTGAGGGTTTTACAAAGATGTCTTTAAATGTGTGTCTAATTTGAAAATACGTTATTCTAAACTGAAACATATTTTACAGTTTGTCTAGCCTATTTTGTGAAATGCAAAAACGTCGACTCTGAATCGATAACATGTGACATGTGACAATACAGTTGATCGGTAGTCACATCAGCATATTTCTTTAAGTCCCGCCCTTAACCTCTCACTCTTTACTTTGATTGGGCAGAGCCACTTTCAAGTGGCCTACGATTGGACAGTTTAGAAGTCATTCACAAAGCCCTGCCAACCGCATCACAGGAAAACAGACAGCAGCGATAACAATGGCGTCGCATTTCAGCGGAGTGCTTCAGCTCACAGATATGGATGATTTTATTACTCCGTCTCAGGTTTAATAGTTGTTTCTCCCTGTAACATTTAAAACAGACACATTACTGTCAGTTCAACGGATAAACGGATGTAACATTGTGTAGATAACGATACAGTTTATAAAAGTGACACATGTTTCTGACAAGCCTTTTTGACAACGTTTAAGTCTTGTAAATACTGTAAATGCTAATTATCAAGGGCTTTCGTTTAGTTAAAGCTCCCACGTCTGGGCCCACGTTATTTGCAAGGCCATATAATAACAGTGGCTGTGTCTCAAAACCTAGTGAGCTGCAGCTGCCTAAGTAAACTGCTGTATATAAAATGCATGTACACTTCAACCACGTTGAAATGTATGCATATCACTTCATTAGATAACAAAATTTCGAACCAAGTGATTTATTTCCAAAAAAGACATTGCATCACATTGAAAGCAAAGCAAGTTAGGTGTTGTATACTATTCAGAAAGTATTTTCATCCACTAAAAGTTACTGTTACACCACTTGTTTAAAAATCATTGCTGACTACACTTGATCTTTTGTCATATCATTTGTCATCTAATGTGTATAGATATAACCTAAGTATTCAAAAGCTGAATACTACTATTTAAAAGTTTGGGGGGCGGTAAGATTTTTATGTCTTTGAAAAGTATTTTATGCTCAACAAGGATGCATTTATTTGATAAAAAATACAGGGAAAACAGAAATATCATGAAATATTATTACAATTAAAAATAACTGCTTTCTATTTGAATATATTTTAAAATGCAATTTATTCCTATGATGCAAAGCTGAATTTTCAGCATCATTACTCCAGTCTTCAGTGTCACACGATCCTTCAGAAATCATTCTAATATGCTGATGTAGAGCTCAAGAAACATCTTATTATTATTAATGTTGAAAACATTTGTGCTGCTTCATATTTTTGTGGAAACGATGATACTTCTTTTTCAGGATTCTTTGATGAAAGTTCCAAAGAACAACATTTATTTCAAACAGAAATCTTTTGTAAGATTATTAATGTCTTTACTGACACTTGTGTTCCATGTTACGCTTCCTTGCTGAATAAAAATAGTAATTAACTAAAAGCAAAAAAACCTATTATACCGATATATAATTTCACTGTTGTTAATTTGCCCTATTTATCAGGAATGTGTCAAACCTGTAAAGGTGGAAAAGAAGCAGGGAAGATCCGTGGCTAAAATCCAGATAGAAGATGATGGCAGTTATTTTCAGGTCCATCAGGTGAGTACAAATGATGTGACTTTTATTTCGAGCCATGTGTGTATTTCATTTGGCAGATATGATAGATATAATGCATAAATGCTTGTTTCCCAGGATGGTCAAAGGCAAAAGTTGGAGAAAGCAAAGATTACTCTGAACGACTGTCTGGCTTGCAGTGGCTGCATCACGTCTGCTGAAAGTGTCCTGATCACCCAACAGAGTCATGAGGATCTGTTCCGTGTGCTACGGCAAAATAAGGTGCGCAGTACATTACTGCATTTAATGTTTTACTCCCAATGAATAATTCACCTCAAACGTGTTTGTGTCTGTCAGCAGCAGGTCAGCAGTAGCGAGCAGAAGGTGGTGGTGGTGGTGTCTGTGTCTCCTCAGTCGAGAGCCTCTCTAGCAGCACACTACGGTCTCAGCAGCAGCGAAGTGGCTCGTAGACTCACCAGCTTCCTGAAGAACTTGGGTGAGTTTGAGTCCGCGATTCATATGACCAGTCAAAGAAAGACGTCCTCCTGTGTGTATTGAGATCATGGAAACTCCATACCGATCTTTCAGGTGTCCATCACGTGTTTGACACCGGCTTCAGTCGCTCATTCAGCCTGTTAGAAAGCCAGAGGGAGTTTCTAGAGCGATTCAGTCGGAAGGAAGAGGACAAGAAGGCACTACCGATGCTGGCGTCTGCCTGTCCAGGTAGTTGCAATCAGTTTTTTATTTTCTGAAATGTTCTCAGTAGTGTATTTTATGAAATGAGACTTTGTGATTGGTTCAGGCTGGATTTGCTATGCTGAGAAGACTCATGGTGAATTCATCCTCCCGTACATCAGCACGACCCGCTCGCCCCAGCAGATGATGGGTTCTCTAGTCAAGGGCTATTTCGCCTCGCAGAAGGTACTAAACAATCAACTTCTGTTCAGAGAGGGAGAAACGGCCCACAATCAGTGCTTAAAGGCAGGGTATGTGATTTTTCAAAAACACTTTAGAAAACTGATTCGGGCCGAATAGCAAAACAAACTTGTAGCCAATCAGCAATAAGGGGCGTGTCTACTCGTGATGTGGAGGAGAGAGCTTTCAGTGCATGGGACGGACATTAGCCGAGCCGAGCGACCGAAAGATAGAGATGGCGGATAAAAAACAAAAGAGGAAAACGTCTGCGGAACGATAAGGCAAGAAGTAGGACCCGTGTAAATATCGGATCAGCTTTCCAGCGCTGGAGAGAACTCAAGGAGCGGAGGCCTGCGATCGGACGTCGAGGTTGCTTTGTTTCTTCTCAATAGGTGAGTAACACCGTGTCTACAACAGCTAAAGTCTGCCTACACTGGACGCGATCAAACGACCGTTGAAAACCATTTGAAATTTGTGTCAGCACGTCATAAATAGAACCCGGCAGCAGTTTTCTGTCGGGGATTTGTCGCGCCGCGCCGCTCACGTCCGTAGACACGGTGTAACATTGGTTTTGCTTTGTTTCACAGAACTAATCGTTGCCTGGGTTGCGTACGTATATGTGGGGCGGAGCTATCAAAATAGGGGCAAGACCCTTTTGGGGTAGGGGCGTGTTTGTTTTGGTGATTTCAAATATCAACATTGACTACCAGAAATCACTTACTCTGCCTTTAATTTGCAAATGAAACACTGCCGGATACAAATCAGCAGTTAAAAGGCGCTGTGACCGACACTCAGTGACGTCACTAAACGGTGATGACACAACTATAAGAGCATCGTTCACAAGTTTCTGCATGGACCTAACTATACAGCCTAGGTTTTCAAACCCTGGGTCAAAAATGGGTCTCCAGGATGATTTAAGGCAAATATATGTAAGTTACATTCAAAATAACAAAATTTGTTTCCATAAAAATAAAATACAATCATAATCTATATAGAAAAGGTATAAATATGCGAAATATATCTGACATAAATAATTAACAGATATAAAACAGATTTGAGGCGCGGCGATCCGCAAACAGGTTCACGGAAAGGAAACCGAGAACTGAGATGACGGAACGCGCATCCTGTTTGTTTGCTTAATTACAAAACACAGATGTTCTTTTTATTGCGAGTGTGCAAAAATAAAAGTAAAAATTTACATTTAGTCATTTAGCAGACGCTTTTATCCAAAGCGACTTACAAATGAGGACAATGGAAGCAATCAAAATCAACAAAAGAGTAATGAGCTTAACGTAGTACACGTAGCAAGTTTTTTTTTTATTTTTTTATAAAATATAGGCCTAATAAATAAAAAGAAAACAGATAGAAAAGAAAAAGAATAGAGCAAGCTAGTGTTAGAGGCCTTTTTGCTTTTGTT